TAGGACTCAGGTGTGAGTTGAAGATGGAGTCTCCTTATCTCTTCTCTATAGTTTGTGTCTGCTCTAATTGTAACACTGGGGAGTCGTGAGAATGTTTCTATGATTTATATTTTCTTTGAGATTGTGGACATCTCCTTTATCTTGTTTAACTACGTTTAATGGATTATGTGATGCCACGTTGACTATTACATGCCATGAAACAATAAATGAGTTTATGATTCCACTGCGAATAAAATAATGTTCAGATTTTGTATGTTGGTCGTAACATCCAAAGTCTCGCGTGTTTCTTTAATTACTCTGATGTTTTATTTAATAATATTACTGGGGTTTATTTAGGGTGTTACAATTTGCAAGCATGAGATGTGAGAGAAGTGGCATGTATGTTCCACTGATTCGATAGTTAAAATGTGATGATGTCGGATCTAGAAAATGTGAGTGCTCGTTTAAATTGTACTGATATTTTAAGGTAAATGATACATGGAAATTTAATGTGATTTCTGTTATACATAATCATGTTTTGCAAACCGAGCTATCTGGTCATCCCATCATATGTCGCCTTAAATCAGAGGAGAAGGAAATTATTTCGGTGATGTTTTTAATCAGGGTGGCGCTGAAAAACATACTTGCAGATTTGAACTGGAAAATACCCGAAAGTCTTTCAAACACCAAATAAGGAAAACTCGGAGGAGGAACCAATAATAGATATATGTGGTGATGCATCTTTTAATATATTTTAGATTGTAACCGATATATTTTTTTGAATGTATTATCGTCAATGATGTAATCTTGATATGATTTTATACATAAGTAATGTATATTCAACAATGATGGTGTAAATGTTGATTATTTCAATTTACAAATTTTATGGTTTATATTTTATGTTTTTATTTACACAATTTTTGATGTGATTCTGTTCAGGGTGATTCTAGATATGCATATCCAGATACATTCCACACTACAATAAAAAAACATAACATACAGTTTACGAATGTGCATACCCCCGTAAACACCTTTTTTTCGTTAAAAAAATAGGGTTTATCTGGAGAAGCATCTTCAAAAATCTCCCTGATGATAGCATAATCTTTCTAAGGTCTAAATTAACTCAAAACTTATATAAATAGGGTGTATTTCATCCCATATTTTCTAAAAAATACACCGCAATTAGAGAAGAAATGCATATCCCCACCTTACATTTGTGTATTTCAATAGCGCAAAGCTGTCATTTCAATTTAGTGTCACCAATGACACACCTCTCGTCGATCTGATATTCAGATTGAATACTCTCCTTCGATATCCAGGAAATCGAAGAGTTGTCATGCTCAAGTATCGTTCACCCTCGTTTGACAATAAAATGAAACATGTGGTTCACCAACTTTGAACTAAAGACGGATAAAGATTTAAAGGTCATGTGGAGTACATTTTACTGTTACGCATCAAAGGATCTGATTGAAGTGGATGTGAAGATTGCAAGATTTGTCAACGATATTATCAATATGTTGTAATGTCCTAAACTATCTGTTTATAACGATATATTCTGTTGAATTTATGTTAACAACTGTAATGTTGAGTGTTTTATTTTAATATTAAATTGATTTTTGTTTCTAAATCTTACTTATAATGTCTTTATTTCTGGTTTGAAGTATCAGAGGTAATTTCGAATATGCATTTCTGAATTATACCAAATACACTTTCAGAAATGCAACTCCAGACTAAAATTAAGTATAATATGGGTGGCTCACTCGTTTGCGCTCAATGTTATGGAAAAAGAATGCGTTCGGAGATACATCTCTAAAATTTAGACATTTTTGAAATTTCAACAAAAATTTGTGAGAAGATATAGAGGTGAAAAAAGAAATTGTAGCATATACACTTGTGGTTAGCACATCCAATTAAAAGTTTGGATCCATACTAAAAGTCTTGTTGAACACGATCGTCGCGAGAGTTACAAAACTTGTATAACACTACATTCAATCTCCTATCTTTTGATTACATGCTCATACTTAGATACACAAATAATACACATTTAAGAAATTTTTATATAGAAATTATGAAAGAATAATTATAGAAATCACATAAATAAAAATTAACTATCGCCCCTATTTTATATTTGAATATTGTATACAATTGAAATTAATTAATTGTTTAAAAAGAAAACTTACTTTAACTTTCCATTATAAACTATATTCAATACACATATCACAAATTCAAACACACAAATAATTTTTATTAAAACCAAAATTAAAAAAATTATCAATTACATTTTTACGTGTATATTTAAAAAAGTGGACAGCCGATTACAGTGTATTGTATATACAATAGTAATATAATAATGTCAAACATACATGAATGTAAAATTAATTAAAAATAACATGTAGTTATGTGATTTTTTTATAGTAAAGTGTAATTATAGTTTTGATCATCATATTTTAATTATTTCATTAAAAAAAAGTAATTCAAACATTTTGATTGTTTTACATTTTTTTCCTTTAAAAAGCGATGTAGCATCTGTTTTTTTATTTATTTTTTTATTTATAAATTTTCACGAAAGAATTTAACATGAAGATTTATCACAATTCACAAGTGATATGTCATTTAAAAATTGACACACCGTCAATTTTAACGGTAAAAAAAAGAGAAGGGTCAAAATTATTTTAATTTAAAATATATTTAAATGCATTTTTAGTTCCCTTAGTTTATTAATTTTTAACTTTTAATCTCAGTCCTCTCCGCCCATTCCTCACCTTACAATTTTAAAAAATAGTTTTTTAGCTCTTCAACTTTACATCCTTTGAAATTTTGTTGGTCCACCTCCAACTTTGCAGACGTGACAGTGATGACTAGTGTGTGTTTTATGTTTTTTTTTATATTTTAAGAAAAATGAAATGAATGACCATCCCAAGCCAACCCATAATGAGCCCAGTCCATTTAACCTCAAAAAAATCTCACAAACTAATAACCATCATACAGAGTCGGTCGGTTATGAATTTCGCTGGGCCATCTGTATCTGACCAGTATAAACCATCTAAACCCATTCCTGGGCAAATCGGTAACCCGAAAACCTTGTCAACCCGATATGTGTTGTATGGCCTCATGGATAGGTCGGATTGGGCCGATTTGCAAATTTGTGTCCAATTTTAAGATCCACCATCAGCATATCAGATCCTAAAAAAGAGCACCAAAAACAACATAGTCAAAACCTACCTTTGAACCAAGGCAAAGGAAAGAGTTATTAAGCCACTCAGTGAAGATGCTAAAAGTCCATCCCTGATCTATCCTAGAACATTTTTAGGCCAAAAACAATACTCTTCCCTCCATATCTTTTGTTGATTTTGTGACTCCTTTAAAAATAACATCATTACTAACTTTCCAGGTATGATAGACTACATCATGTCAAATCATAAGATAATCACCCTTATACATACTCTTACTCCATAAAGAAAGAAAATACTCAAAAAAATACGCCTTACGATCATTAGACGTAACTACCTTCCACCCCCAACCACTTAAAGATATTATACCACATTGACGAGACAAGCTCACAAGTAACGAGATGGAACAAGACATCCTAGTATAACAAAAAAAATACCACCCCTCTTTTACATGTTTTCTCTGGACGGAAGTTGATCTTGCAATAATTACTAAGAGAAAACAAAAATCTTAAAAGGAGCATAACTAAACCAGATAAGGGAGGATCTAACTAAGAGAAAACAAAAATCTTAAAAGGAGCATAACTAAACCAGATAAGGGAGGATCTAACTTTTTACTCGCATAAGAGTCAAAGAAGAAATAGAGCTAAACATCTAAACATGGTATGCGAAAGTCACTAAAAAAGTTTTATCTTTCATTGCTTCCAAATTCACTTATCTATGTCCAAAAAGAAGATAACTTCTCAAAGTAGAGATAAAAACTCTTCGACAACGAATAACTCTCTAAAAAAGAATAGTCTCTAACACTTAAGATCCCAATCATGACCCTGTTAACCATTAATTCAATTTTTCCCACAAACCCATCCAACTAGATAGAGTTCAAGAACAGATCAAGGAACTTAGATTTTAAAAATGGATCCTAAGCAAAAATCCTTTCAAAATCCTTCCAAAAGGAAGATGGACTACCAAATCCTACTTCCTTAATGACACTATCATCTTCTTTAAACCCAAGGAAACAAATTCCTTTCCACATAGTAGAATGCAAACCCTCAATCCTCCTCACATAAAAAAAAGGATTATTTTTGTCTAAATTTCTTGCCTTGTTTGGATATGAAGAGAAAAATGAAGAGGAGAGTGTTGATAATGTTATCAAGCTCTGCGAGACCAATAGTGATGATGAAAAGGAAGAAGATAAAAGATGGTGAACCTGAGGACACGACAATGAAGTCATCTGTTTAATTATTCTCACTCTATAGAAGAAATAATACTAATCACATTTTAAGTAAAGTCTATTTATCAGTTTTTTGTTAGAATTAATTAATATTGTGATTTTGACATCTTAAGAAAAAAAAGAGACATTGTTCTCGAATTGGAGACACAGTTCGTAAGAATAAGCTAGAAACTGTTGGAAATAGTGATTGACTTTCATTCATATTGATTGAATGCTCAAAGAGTAAATGTGAAAATAAACTATAATCATTAACAATCAAAATTATATTCAAAAAATGGGAAGGGATTGACTCCCATAATATGTTCTCCAATCAAGATCACATACTAATGTCTGTTCTTGGAAGTTTTTTTTTCCTGTCATCCGATTCTTCTAACTTCTCCTTTTTGTTAGCTATCTATTACTCATTTAATATACGAAAAGAAATTGGAGCAAAAAGTTTTAGAGTAATAATATTGTTCCAGAAACAACACAAGAATTAAGACAAAGTACATTCTCAAATCGGGAACCAAGCATGAAAAAAACAAAAAAGTATAGCAGTCAATAATGATAAACTCGGGACATAAAGCATAGATGCGTAAACAAAATTTAACTTAACTAGAGATTTCAACTAAGATAACAGTAGTTTAATCTTCATCCTCCTCATCACCGTCGCCACCAGACGCCTTCTTGGCAGCAGCCTTAAGGTTCTTTCGCTTCACCCTTCCGGGACGTCCACCACCGAGGGGACTTGTAAGTGAAAAGTCAATATGCTTCTGGGAGTCAACTCTCACCATAAAAGATGGGATGTTAACAACCTGTCTCCCAACCCTACAATACAAAGACAAAAATTACTCAACCCCAGAGGTTATTTCTGACAAATTGACAAGTCAGATATAGATTGGGTATTTAAGTCAGCGTTCCCAAGAAAAAGAAAACAACACTATGTAATCACATTGCAGCAACTTCTTGAGCAATCACTTATTGCAGAGGGGGAGGAGGCAACTCCACTCCAAAACACATCTCCAAATTTATAGCACCAGTTTCTGAGACATTTGGCTCAATAGAACTCTATTTTAATTAATTATAAACATTAAATTAAGTAACTGTATCAATCATTGATCTTTGAATTTAGAATTAATCAAAACTATAAATATTTTGGAATAGAAAATCAAAATGTAAAGTCGACCACTCAATGCAATCAACTCAAACAGATACTAATATCAACATACTAATATCAACGGTATAACTTGAATATTCACTAATAACAATTCCAAACAAATGCTAATATCAATTCCAAACAATAATACAGAACAACACAAATACTAGCAAAAAAAACAAATCACAAAAATCACTTTTCCATCTCTAAACAACACATTGAAAAAAATACCAAATGAATCCTAACGATGATAAAATGGTCTTTGACACCATAAGTGTGTAATGTTGGTATTTAAAGTCTTTTCAATAATTTAAATCCCTAAATTTCAACTATTTAAAATCAATTACGTTCCTAACAATACTACTATCTAAAGATAAATATGAGTAAATATCTATAACGCCATGAACTAATTAGAGACCACCGTTCAAAACCAGCTATCGGCAACAAGTAAAAATTAAATAAATTAGGGAAAAGGGTTAAACCTGATATGCCTCTGTCTGATGAGAACCCTAGCATGATGAATAGATTTCGCCATACCAGATTTAAAAACAAGTGTCTGAAGACGACGTTCCAGAAAATTCTCAACAGTTAAAGCAAGAACATAATCAAGCTTATTTTGTGTCTCATCAAGTAATCCATAACGAAACATTCTTCGAAGCAAGGCTTCACCTTCAAAAATCCTCCGAGGATTCTTCTCATCAAGAGTAAGAAGGTTTCTAGCATTGTTCCTGATTCGACTCAGAGCGTACTGTACTCTCCATAGTTCACGTTTACATCTGAGTCCGTACTCACCGACGAGCTTCAACTCGGCGTCTAAACGCTCCTTCTCGTATGGACGACGAGGTTTCTTGAATGTTTTCCCATCTAGATCATGAACCAAATTAAGGTTTTGAAAACTATAGAAAAATAATATGATGCGATGAGTAAACAGAGGTGTAGATCGAAAGAGACTTACAGTTGCGGTAGAAGGAGACGTGAACCATGGTGCTGTTCGGCGGAGCAGAAGGTTGCTCTTGGTTGATCTCTCGCGCCTGTGAGTAGAAGAATTGTGTATAATTCTGTTTTGGCTTTTTAAAGGATGATGGTGACAAACCCTAATAGCTTTCTGTGGGTTTCAAATGGTTTTGGGTTGAAGCGGGCCTAGGCCCAAACATGAATAATCCACTCCAGTCCAATAAGGTCTAAAACCCGGCACGTATATGACTTTCGTATAGTATATGAGACACAATAACTTCCATATTTTTATTCAGGTTTGCTATGTTTACGCTATTTTCTACACCCACATTTTACTACACCGTATGCACTGTTCACCGTATTTATATGGTGAACAGTATTTTTTTATTAAAATAATATATTTTTTAAAAATATTTATTTTTAAAATTTATTTTATAACACAAATATAAGATTGGCATTAACCAACTTCACAGTTGTATTAACCACAAAATCTATATCATTAGCCAATTATTTTACCTATAATTTATTAACCATTTTCACTACTTCATTAAGCAATAAAATACATACTATTAACCATGTTCTGAGAAATTTGTTCACGTATTTGTGAACATTAAATTGGGTGTAGGGTGTAGGAAAGAGTGTAAGAATAGCATTTTTCATTTTTATTTTATAAACATCAATGAGAAAAAGGAATACGCACTGACATGATAAAATATTTGTATACAGTTAATCAATAAGAGATTTCAATTAATAAGATATTTGTATTTTGCCAAATCACATTTTTATTTTAAAATACAAACATAATATTGTATGTTAAAATTTTATTGGAATATGGTGTAAAATTATTTTAGACCGACATCTTTAATCTCAACACAAATATATAAAAATTATAATTGAATGAATTATACACTAATTTTACATTGACATGATAAATTTTAAAAGAGATTTATGTTTTATTTATAAAAACATCTTTTTGTGTGTGTGTGTGCGCGCGCGCGTGCGTGTGTGCGTGTCTGTGTGTCTATGTCTGTGTTTGTGTGTGTCTGTGTGTTTGTGTCTGTGTGTCCGCGTGTGCGTGCGCCTGCGCGTGCGTGTGTGTGTGAAACTAAAAATTGGGGTGGATAAATGGTTGGGCTCGGTCAGATTCGGCTAAAAAAACTCAATTCGATAAAACCCGTGGTCGGTAATATGTCGTCTATTTTCTTATACGGTTTGATCGGATGGTGGGTTAATCAAATTGCAATTAGTTTCAGTTGGTTTGGTTCAAAACCTTAAACACTTTTATCAAAAAAAATAAGAGAAAAATGTGAGAAAAAAAGAAATAAAGGGAGTATAACGAGTAAAAGTTTGGTATGTTGACATATCAAAGTGGTGGGTTGGGTTTATTCACTTAGAAACTTTTTAACAAACGAGTGAAAATTTGGTATATTGATATATCAAAGTGGTGGGTTGGGTTCATTCACTTGGGAACTTTTTAACAAAAGTGGAGTATTGAGTATTATTAATTGTTTCTATCTAATAATTTTTTTTCCTGTTGAGTGACTATATGTAGTCCCTAGAATATATAAATGATTTATGTGAAAAAGATAAGGAGAGAGAGATATGTAGGACTGTGATCATCAGCGATCAGCAGAGCACTCTGTCATGCAGTCAACGTTTTGTATACCATATGATCAAAATCAAATGGTGAAGATTTAAAATTTTATAAATAAATAAAATTATCGTAGCAAATTCAATTGTTGAGATCACTCAGAGAATCCATTTCCAGATGTGTAAGAGAAAGGTAAAGAGTGAGAGATGTGTAGGAGAGTAAAATTGATGGTATCAATAATAAAAGTAGTTTTTTTTATGTAACTTGACTGCATATGAATCTTCAAAAGAGGTTGAGTTTTTAAAAAAGAAAAAGAAAAATGGCTTTAGAATTTAAAATATAGAAATTGAGTGCTTGGTATATTGTTTTTGTGAGTTTCAAAAGATGTGACATACTACACTGAATACCATAGTGATAACATATGTGTTGGTTTCTTATAATATAGTATAATGACAAGTGGAGTGTCTCAATTTAATAAACAAGTATATGAAAAAATAATTTTACTGTTATACTGCAACTTTTTATTATATGATTATAAGAGTAATTTCAACGGGAGCCTTTCACATGTTGCTCCAGCGGGTAAATGAATTCGTCCATTTAATATTGATTGGAGTTGGCTAGACTGGTCAACCGTAGCACTGCACTGCAACGGTCATTTGAATAAAATAATAATAATAAAACTGAAAAATGGTTGTTTAGTAACGACTAGTTCTTTTTTTTAACATTTTAGTTGATTATAAAAAAAAGCATATTTAAAAAATTTTATACATAAATTTTCTCAAACGCTTTTATTTTCTCTTAAAATTTAAATTTTTCTCTCACAAATTTCTAAACTTTACTCTTAATTTTTAAATTTGTCTCTTATAATTTCTTCTCATTGGCCTTTAATTGACAATATATTTTACCCAAATTTTTATATTTTTATTTCAAAATTAATATTGTTTATGTCAAATAGATCTTAATCAATATAAATTTCAACAGTCTATGTTTAATTTCATGCAAAATTATCAAAACCCTAATCCTCTTAATTCTCATCGATGTCAACAAACCCCGTCGCATTTTTCTATCACCAAACTGTCGCACCTCGAATAATCACGGAGACATTTCGGAGAACGCGACCCTCGCGCGAAAGGCGCGGAAATGCGGTTCGACAGAGTCGCCACCGAACTTTATTTTTCCCAAATAAACGGGAGAGGAAAATATCGAGAAAACCTCTTAAAATGAAAGGACAGGAACAGGGCTGTCGCAACCAAGTTTCGGGTTCGGGAGTCGGTTACGTGAGGGGAAGGTATTAGCACCCCTCACGTCCGTCGTACTCGACGGGAACCTCTTAAGGTAAATGTGGGGAGTGTTGTTTAGTTTTACTTGTTTTCTTCTCATTGTTAAAGGTAGAATTGGTAGGTTAAAAGGTTAAAGACGCAAATGAGAGATGAGTGGTTAGAAGATAGGGTGCTCGAACTGAATGCGTATCTTACCATTGCTTTCCGTTTTTTCATGTACTGGATAATGGTGTGTGGGGATAATTGGTGGTTTAGAGCTTCGAGTCAGTTAGCCCAAAGGGTGTTCCTGTGGTATCTGCTAATTCTTCTATTGTGGAATTTAACCGTAACCGAAAACTGTTGTAAGAGCAAGATTTGTCTCTACAGGATTATCTCTATGTTTTGATGATAACAATTGAGTATTTGTGAAAGAACCATTTTATGGTTTAATGTTTGTTATGTGCAGGTCATATTAAATTAAATATATTAGACCAAACAAACAAAAGCAACGTGTGCAGCTAGTAATATATGGAATTACTATGTGTAACTTCATGAAGCGCTTGGGAGAAGCTAGTTTGCTTATGTATCTGATCACCATCAGTAAGGAACCAAGGATGTTGTATATTGCAGTTGCAATGCTCCTGTGGTTTATGATCTGAAGAAGTGCATCTGATCTAAAAGCAAATGAAGCTCAGTAAAGAAGCAAGTTTGTTTCTGCATCTGATCATGTTCAATAAAGAATCAAGGATGCTGGATATTGCAGTTGCAATGCATCTGTGGATTCTGATCTGAGTTGTGCATCTGATCTGGAAGCTAACGAGCGTCTCTGAAGAGTGAGCCCTCTAAAGAACTGAAGTGTTGAAGAATCTGATGACTTGAAGTTCTGAAGGCTGAAGGCTCTGAAGACCAAGTGCGTCAAGACTCTGAAGACATGTTCTGAAGGACAAAACTCTGAAGACTCTGAAGACATGTTCTGAAGGTCAAGACTCTAAAGACTCTGAAGACATGTTCTGAAGGTCAAGACTCTGAAGATATAATCATCTGAAGAAGTTTGTGCTGAAGACTCTGATGACTTGAAGTTCTGAAGGCTGAAGGCTCTGAAGACCAAGTGCAAAAGACTCTGAAGACCAGACTCTGAAGAAGAAAGATTATGAAGCTTCACCAGACAAGACGTGTTCAATCAGATGAGCTGTTGCTATCAACTCTGATGAACAAAGTTCTGAAGTCAGAATCTGATGTTTACTATGCTATCTATACCAAAGTAGTTTCTGAACTACTCATCTGTAACATCATCAGAAGAACCAAGCCAGAAGCAAATTTGTCCAAGCTGTTAAATGGAATATTACCGTTGCAAGAAAAGGACAAGAAAGTGATGTCATCTAACACGTGCTTATCTATCCGTTGAAATATGACCGTTGGAAATAGAAAGGACTTTTCTATCCTCACAACGTCATTCTTGGAAGCACTATAAAGGCAGAATCATTTGATTATTCAAATGTTGCTTGGTGAGCTGAAGTGGTTACTAAGTGGCTGGAGCTGTTGCTCGTATTTGCTACTTACGCTGTTGTGCTACTGTTGCCATGAAGAAAAGCTCTTAAGTAATATAAAAACTATGTTTTAATAATCTCTTAGAGATTTATTATTAGATTAGTTTTTATATTAGAAAGCAAGGAGTTGTTGCTCAATACTTGCTAGGAACTTAATTAGGAGTAATCTGCTTATTTGAGAAGCACTTATGTAATCTCCGGCAACACAAATTCTTTTTAGAATTAAGTGGTTCCTCAAGTGATCTTGTTAAGATCAGTATACTTGAGATGACAAGTGACAGTAGTCATTTGTGGAAATCCTAATAGGAGATCTTTAGTGATCGGATTCTATTAAGGTGTCAATGAACGTTATATCCTTAGGGATCCCTGAACGTGTCATTGTCAAGTTGTTAGTCACTTGCAAATAGCTTGTGCATCTGTAATCAGTTCGGTTATAGTGGATTAAGTCCTTATTTGATTAAGGCGAAATCACCTTGGAAGGGTGGACTGGATTAGCTTGAGAGTTGCTCAAGTGAACCAGGATATATGTTGTGTTCTTTACTTTCAGTATGCTTTGTTATTTATGCTTCCGCAATATATTTAATATAAGCGCATAAAAGCATCAAGTTAAGAAGAAGACAAGAATTCAAAAA